AGGAATTGGGAAAACGTGTCAACAAAAGTGAAAAATTTTAACCCCAGAACCACGATGACTACGATTTCTTGATAACTTATGAAAACGAAACCTCGTCAACGACACGATTAATTATTCTGGTTATTTTAAATGCCTTGGAACATCAACCACCTCCTCGCGAAACTTGACCGGCGGTAATCGTCGACGGTAAATAAATTTTTGTCTTCAAATGTTCGAATTACGTATCTACAAGGTGGTTAATAGTATTATTTCAAACTGGTTATCTCTCAGAGTTCGGTTTTATTAGATGTACCTTTTCCGTCATCATTTAGTCTGTCATCGTGCGGCGCACGATGACAGACTAAATAAGCACAATGTTTTCGTGTTTACATCGTGCGCTGGAAGATGAAACTGTGGGCTCAGTAAATGCTGATATTGGAGCAGAATCCTGTTCTGTAGGGCAAGAACACCTCAGCAGCTTCCTGGAGATTTCCTAAATTTCCCATTCACTATAATATTGCATAATATAATAATTTCTAGTCCAGCAATTTTCGATAGCTTTGAGAGAAATTTTACTTGCGCTTTGAAGAAGAGCAGAACTTACACGCTTTCACGAGTCCATAACGTGATTCTTTACGCAATGGGCTCTCAGGGTGCTGGTACAATTCGTGACGATTACGCAAACCCTCGAAGGTGCTTCTGGTTTGAATAACCCTAAGTATTTTGATAAGGGACAGCCTTGAACGGCAAACAAACAACCAAACGAACAAATAAAAAACGAACATGACTAAACAGCGGAACTTGACTGGAGCTGTCACGCAATCACAATAGCGTGACGGAGGAAGCTCATTCTTCCTGTATTATAAAGTATATAACGTTTTCTTTGGGTTACTTTCACCTGAGTCTCCTCTACTCATTTTTAACCATGCAGCGCGGTAAAATCGATTCTATTTTATTTCTAGCTATGGCAGAAAGCAACCTCCCAACAACGGGATAGAGTGAAATAGCGATAGCGTGACGGATAGCGTAGTGATAGCGTGTCAATAGCGTGACGGAGGAAGCTTTGAGATTCTCATTCTTCCTGCATGATAAAGTATATAAAGTTTTCTTTAGGTTACTTTCACCTGAGTCTCCTCTATTCATTTTTAAACATGTAGCGCGGTAAAATCGATTCTATTTTATTTCTAGCTATGGCAGAAAGCAACCTCCCAACAACGGGAGAAGAAGTGGAGGTGAAAAATGAGTTTCCAGCCACAGGTGAGAAAAAGCAACAGGGAAAGACTTAGTTATGGTGATTTTGTACTTTTTGTTAATTAAGTATATCTTAATTATGATGCACAATTGTAATTGCACATAGTTGTGATCACGAACAAAGTTGAAATATCTTCTCTGTAATTTCAGCAACAGAGGAAAGTCAAGTTACGTCAAGTGACGCTAAATTGGATGTACACAATGACCCTTTAGGAGGTAAGAACACCAGGTGAAACAAGATTTTTTGAAAGACGCCCCAGTGAAGTTTTTGTCACATATACATCAAAATTTGCGAATGTTCTGCGGATAAGTTTTTGAAGAAGCAGAAGATTGTTTCTTTAAATTTCAAACTTTTTTACAAGAAAATAGAAAAAAAAAACGAAGGAAGGAACAATATATTGCTCATTCCGATGGAGCAGAAAGCGTAGACATCATAAATTTTTTTTATAGGCAATAAAGCGGCAAATTTGGACGCGACTTTGCTTTGAAGAGCCCTAACTTAAAGAAGAATGGGCAAAAATTGAATTTTGAGTTCTGGAAGAGCTTACTCGTAAATCAACGTACAATGTTTTGGAGATTATCGATGTACCTACGATTTGCACCTAAAATGAACGATATTTGCGCGGTAAAAGTATTTTCCTTTTGCACTTGAAATGGTACTTTCCCGATCAAATTTTTTCCAGTTAGCCTCCTCGAGTATGTTCTCAATAGACAATTACATGTATTGGAAAAACCAAGTGGTAATTAAAAAAAAAAGACGCACTTCTCTGAAGGATGGGCAAACTACGAACCCTTGTCACTCTCAGCACGACGTTTTCGGTCCTGGCTTTGCTTTGCTTTATGCATTTCTCCTCAATAACTCATGCGGTTTCATATTCTGACTTGATCTTTTGGAAAACGTAACCAAGGTGTAAAAGGGTTTTTGGAGAGTCTCTCGACCTAAATGTGAACCGAGCAGACTTTATCTGGTTAGAGCCAAGCTGCAGCTAAAACTCCCAAAAGCTTGTATTTTTTGAAAACAAACAAAACGCACAGATCAATTCTCCAGAGGGGCGATTATAAACAAAGATGATTTCAAATAGGATCTCCCAGAGAAACTTGTGATGTTTTGGAAGAAGTAAGTCAGGTGTAAAAGGGGTTTGGAAAGCCTCTCGACCTAAATGGAAACCGAGAAACTTGAACTGGTAATAGCCAAGCTACAGCCCAGACTCCCAACAGCTCGCACATTTTACTTAAACAAAACTACAAATATTAAACTTTTCTAATTTTTTTTTTCATAGCTCTAAGCTCCTTTAGCTTAAATTTCGTTTGAAAGTATAAAGTTGGAATCATCCGTCGAGGGTCGTATAACTCATTAACACTAAAACGGTTTGTTTTCAGGGATAGCGGAAGTATGTCTGGAGAAAGGTAACAAAGAGTACAGACAAGGAGAAACTAATAACGCGATAAGCTCTTACACGGAAGGACTTCAAGTCAACTGCAAAGATAATCGACTGAACGCCAAGCTTTACAGCAACAGGGCAGCAGCTCATTTCCGTTTGGGTAAAAATTTTATTTCTAAATATATAAACCTCTCATGCAGCGTTACAAGATAACGGAATACACCATCTGCATCAAGAAAAGGAAAACAATAGAGCAACTGCAGAAAATAAGCATAGACTAGAGATATCACCCTTAGCAGATCAAAATTAAGCAGAGAAATGACCTCGTAAATGGACTGCAACTTATGCAATTGTAATTTTTTAGGCGTCCTTGGTGCAATTGCATGTGATGACCACCTTTTTAAACCTTATTTCTTGAATTTCGCAGCAAACTACGTGGAATGTCTGGATGATGCAACAGTTGCTGTTCAATTGGAACCCACTTTAATCAAAGCTATTGAGAAAGGTGGGGTTTTCAATCATAATCGTTTAACACTCTTTTCTCTGATTTCGTCAAAAGGGGTTTGTGTTTTGTTGTGGCACGTGACGGCACCCCAAGTGTGAATTGTATCTGGTGTGTTAATGTCTGTTATGTGATGAAAAGCATAACAAAATTTCGATAAGCTCTCAAATACCGCCGCCCGGTTAGTTCGCATTTTAAAGCGCCGGAGGTGAAAGGTTCAAGCCCTAGACTGGGCCAACACTCAGAGTCTTAAAATGTATGAGGAGAATGTGTTGCCACCTAAGCTATGACATCTGCAAATGGTTGGAAGTTCTTATTCCGGATATGGACGGAAAACCGTAAGCCCCGTTTCCTGCATCTTCCCGATCACTCTTAGTAGGGGACATTACTAAACCCGGCCAGGAGGCACCTGAAAAATTGCCTTTCAAAAATTGTAAACTGCTCAATGAAGTCTGCCTGAAAATTTCCTCGAAAAGTGCTGAAAAGTGCATAAGAGTACATTCAAATAAAGAATACGTTATGTAAATTCATTGTTATCATCATCATATTGAAGCTTAATTGGTAGCCGCTTTGCGCTAGCTTCTTATGGTTCCTTTTCAGTTTTTCCACGAGTTCAGATTTCCTTATTAAATTTTTGTTTCAGCTAAATGACAAATTAAGTCCATTTTATCAATACTTTTATACGTTAACAGTAATTAATTACCTCGCACCACCAATCGTTCTCTCCTTTTCAGGAGCCAGAGCTTGTGTCGAACTTTGCTGGTATAAAGAAGCGAGGGGTTGGTTGCATATGGGATTGGCCGTATCCTTTAACGAATGTTTCAAACGTGATATGAGATGCAATGCGAGTAATATTTCAAAGCAATTCAATACGTTCCAGACAGATTCTTTTACACATAATGCAAGTGATATTCTCTTATACTGCACTGAGCAGTTTAAAAAGCTAAACTATTCTTAAAGAGTTCTTTCGATTATTTTACGAAACTCAACTTAAAGAAAAGGCTATGTTAACTAATTCCTAGAGTTTGTGCCGAATGCTCCTCATTTTTCTGAGCATCACCATTACGACCGAATCTAAACTAATAGAGCATTCTCGAACAACTTGAAACCAAATCTCTACAAGAAACCCACACACAAATCCGCTCATGATTTATCTACCCTTGACACATTTTAAGATTGAAAACAACAACAAAAGTCTGCTTCAATTACTAAGGAAAACTAATGCTGAACTAAAAGTCACAGCAGGCAGTTATTGCAATCTCGGCAACACTTATCAAGGCCTGGGACAGTTCAAAACAGCCATCACCTACCATCAACATCATCTAGAAATTGCTAAAGAAATGGGAGACAAGGCCGGAGAAAGAATCAGTTATAGCAATCTCGGCAATGCTTATCAAGGTCTAGAAGACTTCAAAACATCTATCACGTACCACCAACGTGATCTAGAATTTGCTAAAGAAGTGGGAGACAAGGCCGGAGAGGGAAACAGTTATTGCCGTCTCGGCAACGCTTATCGTCGTCTAGGAGAGTTCAAAACAGCCATCACGTACCACCAACGTCATCTAGAAATTGCTAAAGAGGTGGGAGACAAGGCCGGAGAGGGAAGAAGTTATAACGATCTCGGCAACGCTTATGACAGTCTAGGAGAGTTCAAAACAGCCATCAAGTACCACCAACGTCATCTAGAAATTGCTAAAGAGTTAGGAGACAAGGCCGGAGAGGGAAGAAGTTATTGCAGTCTCGGCGTTGCTTATGACAGTCTAGGAGAGTTCAAAACAGCCATCAAGTACCACCAACGTCACCTAGAAATTGCTCAAGATGCGGGAGACAAGGCCAGAGAGGGAAGAAGTTATTTCAATCTTGGCAGTACTCATTACAATCTAGGAGAGTTCAAAACAGCCATCAAATACCATCAACATGGTCTAGAAATTGCTAAAGAGGTAGGAGACAAGGCCGAAGAGGGAGACAGTTATGGCAATCTCGGCGTTGCTTATGACAGACTAGGAGAGTTCAAAACAGCCATCAAGTACCACCAACGTCATCTAGAAATTGCTAAAGAAGTTGGAGACAAGGCCAGAGAGGGAAGAAGTTATTTCAATCTTGGCATTACTTATTACAATCTAGGAGAGTTCAAAACAGCCATCAAGTACCATCAACGTGGTCTACAAATTGCTAAAGAAGTGGGAGACAAGGCTGGAGAAGGAAACAGTTGTGGCAATCTCGGCAACGCTTATCGACATCTAGGAGAGGTCAAAACAGCCATCAAGTACCACCAATGTCATCTAGAAATTGCTAAAGAAGTGGGAGACAAGGCCGGAGAGGGAGGAAGTTATGGCAATCTCGGCAATGCTTATGACAGTCTAGGAGACTTCAAAACAGCCATCAAGTACCATCAACGTGGTCTAGAAATTGCTAAAGAAGTGGGAGACAAGGCCGGAGAGGGACGAAGTTATTGCAATCTCGGCATTGCTTATGACAGTTTGGGAGAGTTCAAAACAGCTATCAAGTACCACCAACGTTCTCTAGAAATTGCTAAAGAAGTAGGAGACAAGGCTGGACAGGGAAGAAGTTATTGCAATCTCGGCATTGCTTATGACAGTCTAGGAGACTTCAAAACAGCCATCAAGTACCATCAACGTCATCTAGAAATTGCTAAAGAAGTGGGAGACAAGGCCGGAAAAAGAATCAGTTATAGCAATCTCGGCAACGCTTATCAAGGTCTAGAAGACTTCAAAACAGCTATCACGTACCATCAACGTGATCTAGAGATTGCTAAAGAGGTGGGAGACAAGGCCGGGGAAAGAATCAGCTATAGCAATCTCGGCAACGCTTATCGACATCTAGGAGAGTTCAAAACAGCCATCAAGTACCACCAACGTCATCTAGAAATTGCTAAAGAAGTGGGAGACAAGGCCGGAGAGGGAGGAAGTTATGGCAATCTCGGCAACGCTTATGACAGTCTAGGAGACTTCACAACAGCCATCGAGTACCATCAACGTCATCTAGAGATTGCTAAAGAAGTGGGAGACAAGGCAGGAGAGGGAAACAGTTATTGCCGTCTCGGCAACGCTTATCGTCGTCTAGGACAGTTCAAAACAGCCATCAAGTACCACCAACGTCATCTAGAAATTGCTAAAGAAGTGGGAGACGAGGCAAGAGAGGGAAGAAGTTATTTCAATCTTGGCATTACTTATTCCAATCTAGGAGAGTTCAAAACAGCCATCAAGTACCACCAACGTCATCTAGAAATTGCTAAAGAAGTGGGAGACAAGGCCGGAGAAAGAATCAGTTATAGCAATCTTGGCAACGCTTATCAAGGTCTAGAAGACTTCAAAACAGCTATCACGTACCACCAAAGTGATCTAGAAATTGCTAAAGAAGTTGGAGACAAGGCTGGAGAGGGAAATAGTAATTGCCGTCTTGGCAACGCTTATCGTTGTCTAGGAGAGTTCCAAACAGCCATCAAGTACCACCAACGTCATCTAAAAATTGCTAAAGAGGTGGGAGATGAGGCCAGAGAGGGAAAAAGTTATTTCAATCTTGGCGTTACTTATTGCAATTTAGGAGAGTTCAAAACAGCCATCAAGTACCACCAACGTCATCTAGAAATTGCTAAAGAAGTGGGAGACAAGGTTGGAGAAAGAATTAGTTATAGCAATCTCGGCAATGCTTATCAAGGTCTAGAAGACTTCAAAACATCTATCACGTACCACCAACGTGATCTAGAAATTGCTAAAGAAGTGGGAGACAAGGCCGGAGAGGGAAACAGCTATTGCCGTCTCGGCAACGCTTATCGTCGTCTAGGAGAGTTCAAAACAGCCATCAAGTACCACCAACGTCATTTAGAAATTACTAAAGACGTGGGAGACAAGGCCAGAGAAAGAATCAGTTATAGCAATCTCGGCAACGCTTATCAAGGTCTAGAAGACTTCAAAACATCTATCACGTACCACCAACGTCATCTACAAATTGCTAAAGAAGTGGGAGACGAGGCCGGAGAGGGAAGAAGTTATTTCAATCTTGGCATTACCTATTACAATCTAGGAGAGTTCAAAACAGCCATCAAGTACCATCAACGTGGTCTAGAAATTGCTAAAGAAGTGGGAGACAAGGCCAGAGAGGGTAACAGTTGTGGCAATCTCGGCAACGCTTATCGACATCTAGGAGAGTTCAAAACAGCCATCAAGTACCACCAACGTCATTTAGAAATTACTAAAGACGTGGGAGACAAGGCCGGAGAGGGAATCGGTTATTTCAATCTAGGCGTTGCTTATGACAGTCTAGGAGAGTTCAAAACAGCCATCAAGTACCATCAACGTGGTCTAGAAATTGCTAAAGAAGTAGGAAACAAGGCCGTTGAGGGAAACAGTTATGACAATCTCGGCAACGCTTATCGACATCTAGGAGAGTTCAAAACAGCCATCAAGTACCACCAACGTCATCTAGAAATTGCGAAAGAAGTGGGAGACAAGGCCGGAGAGGGAAGAAGTTATTGCAATCTCGGCATTGCTTATAACTATCTAGGACAGTTGAAAACAGCCATCAAGTACCATCAACGTGGTCTAGAAATTGCGAAAGAAGTAGGAGACAAGGCCACAGAGGGAAACAGTTATGGCAATCTTGGCAATGCTTATCGAGATCTCGGAGAGTTCAAAACAGCCATCAAGTACCACCAACGTCATCTAGAAATTGCCAAAGAAGTGGGAGACAAGGCCGGAGAGGGAAACAGTTATTGCAATCTCGGCATTGCTTATAACAGTCTAGGTGAGTTGAAAACAGCCATCAAGTACCACCAACGTCATCTAGAAATTGTTAAAGACGTGGGAGACAAGGCCGGAGAGGGAAGAAGTTATTGCAATCTCGGCCTTGCTTATGACAGTCTAGGAGAGTTCAAAACAGCTATCAAGTACCACCAGCGTCATCTAGAAATTGCTAAAGAAGTGGGAGACAAGGCCGGAGAGGGAAGCAGTTACTGCAATCTTGGCAACGCTTATTACAGTCTAGGAGAGTTCAAAAGAGCCATCACGTACCACCAACGTCATCTAGAAATTGCTAAAGAAGTGGGAGACATGGCCGGAGAGGGAAAATGTTATTGCAACCTCGGCAACGCTTATAAAAGTCTAGGACAATTGAAAACAGCCATCAAGTACCATCAACGTGGTCTAGAAATTGCTAAAGAAGTAGGAGACAAGGCCGTAGAGGGAAAAAGTTATGGGAATATCGGCAACGCTTATCGACATCTAGGAGAGTTCAAAACAGCCATCAAGTACCACCAACTTGATCTAGAAATTGCTAAAGAGGTGGGAGACAAGGCCGGAGAGGGAAGAAGTTATTGCAATCTTGGCAACGTTTATGTTAGTCTAGGAGAGTTCAAAACAGCCATCAAGTACCACCAACGTCATCTAGAAATTGTTAAAGAAGTGGGAGACATAGCCGGAGAAGGAAAAAGCTATTGCAATCTCGGGGTTGCTTATTACAGACTAGGAGAGTTCAAAACAGCCATCAAGTACCACCAACGTCATTTAGAAATTGCTAAAGAAGTGGGAGACAAGGCCGGAGAGGGAGGAAGTTATGGCAATCTCGGCACCGTTTATGACAGTCTAGGAGAGTTGAAAACAGCTATCAAGTACCACCAACGTCATCTAGAAATTGCTAAAGACGTGGGTGACAAGGCTGGAGAGGGAAGAAGTTTTGGCAGTCTCGGCGTTGCTTATCACCGTCTAGGAGAGTTCAAAACAGCCATCGAGTACCATCAACGTGATTTAGAAATTGCTAAAGAAGTGGGAGACAAGGCCAGAGAGGGAACAAGTTATGGCAATCTCGGCATTGCTTATGACCGTCTAAGAAAGTTCAAAATAGCAATCGAGTACCATCAACGTGATCTAGAAATTGCTAAAGAAGTGGGAGACAAGGCCGGAGAGGGAAGAAGTTATGGCTATCTTGGCAACGCTTACAACGGACTTAAACAGTTCAAAACAGCAGAGGAGTACTATCAACGTGATCTAGAAATTGCTAAAGAACTGGGAGACAAGGCCGGAGAGGGAATCAGTTATTGCCGTCTCGGAATGAATCATCTCTGTCAAAGAGATTTGAAAACGGCAATCGAGTGTTGTCAACGTCGCGTAGTAATATCAAAAGAAGTGGGAGACAAAACTGGAGAGGCGTGCTCACTCTGTTCTCTTGGAAGCAGCTTTGAGTGCCTAGGAAATCTTGTGATGGCCTCTGACCATTATCACTCGAGTGTGCAGTTGCATGATGGTATCAGGGCCAGTCTTCAACTCAACGATCAGTGGAAGATTTCTTATCGTAATCAGCACCAAAGTGCATACAGAGGTTTGTGGCGTATAAACCTCAAACAAGGTCAAGTTGTAAAAGCGCTTCTTGCTGCAGAGAATGGACGTGCTCAAGCTCTGAGAGATCTCATGGCCACAAATTATCAGCCTGGAGATTCTTTAACGCCCAGCGCATCCCGTATTTTTCTGAAGTGGGTTACAGTGAGCACAGTTTTCATAGCTATTAATGGACCATGCGTTTACCTCTGGGTTTGCCTCAGTGAAGACAACATCCAGATGAGAATTGTACACGTCAACAATTATAAGTTTGAGAATGAATTGGAAAGTTTTATCCAGCTTCTGAACAAAACTGCTCTGAAGGAGATCGGTGTAAGAGATACTGTTACAATCGAAAATCCTCCTTGTGATTCGCCGACAGGAGAGGAAGTGGCCAATAATGTGATCCAAGTTGATGTGAGGCACTCCCAATCAAGTGCTTTAAAGAAGCTGCATGACATTGTCATTACTCCTATTGCTGATCTGATCGAAGCCAACGAACTAACATTTGTTCCTGAGGGGCCATTTTGCCTTGTTCCATACGCAGCGTTGCAGGACTCCAACTCATCATATCTAAGTGATTCTTTCAGAATTCGTGTGCTTCCCTCTCTGACGACGTTGCAACTAATTCATGATTGTCCAGCTGACTTTCACTTGAAGACTGGTGCATTGCTTGTCGGCGACCCATGTTTCAAACACATCATCTATGAGGGAACACTTTTGGTGCAACTTCTAGGAGCAAGGAAAGAAGTGGAGATGATCGGACGTATCCTAAATGTTTCCCCCCTCACTGGAGAAATGGCAACAAAACACGAAGTGTTAAAACGAATATCATCAGTGGCGCTAGTTCACATTGCAGCGCACGGTAAAATGGAAACTGGAGAAGTTATCCTGGCACCAAACACCACAAGAGAAAACCCTCAGCCGCAAGAGGAAGACTATCTACTGACTACGAAAGATGTCATAGAAGCTGGGTTGCGAGCACGTCTGGTTGTACTTAGCTGCTGTCACACTGCTCGTGGGGAGGTCATGGCCGAGGGTGTGGTCGGCATGGCGCGTGCACTTTTGGCTGCCGGTGCTAGATCTGTTGTGGTAACCTTGTGGGCGATTGGCGACGAGGGAACCCTAGAGTTCATGAGTTTCTTTTACGATGCACTTTCCAAAGGCAAGAAGGCAAGTGAAGCTCTCAATCAGGCCATGAAGTGTATGAGAGAAATTGAAAAGTTCAAGGAGGTGATTTACTGGGCACCATTTGTACTCATTGGTGATGACGTCAACCTGGATTTCAAGGATATTAGAAGCCGAAACAAGTAAATATTCTGTTTATACATTGTATTCAATACAAAGTTACCTTAAATCATAATTATAGCTCATGTACGAGCAGTAATATTTACGTATTATTTTCCTTTCAGTTGGGTTACGAATTTAGTTTTTACTCCGGAAAATTGAGATGCAGTACATTCAAGTGGACATGTTTACGATGATGACATCTTTGTTAGGAAACATGATAGGAGTAAAAATGCAAATTTCTTTTAAAACACTCCTGTTGTGCGATGTATCGTTTCATGTGCTGGGAAATATTTTATGGAAACTCAACCATCCTCCCTAAACTTTTTTTTATTCTTCAGTTAAGGCAGTGAGCAGCATTGGAATCCCAGGGTGTTTTCGGATACCTGCAAACGCTGACATTTGGACCAGAAACCAGTAAGCTACTTATGAAATCTTTTTCAAGAGTCTTCTTTTCAAAGCAGGAAGAACCAAAAGACGGCCAAAGTCAAGTTGAACAAGAGAACGGATTTCCTTTGATTCAAAAGTTGACTTTTTGCTTGTCTGAACTGCTCTTAAGAGATTGATCTGTGATGTTCTGCTAAAACTACTGTTTTTTTTTTGTTTTTTTTTCACATGATTTCTTGAAATTATCATGACTAGCTCTGTAAAAAGTTATTTTTTATCTGTTTCACCTACTAAGTGAATTTGGGAGTTGCATTGACGTCGAAGTTGAAACGTCTTGAAAACGTTTCCAGAGTTTTTTTTAGACTTTTTCTCAATCGATTTTTTCTCGTGAGTGATGCAACGCTGTTGCAGCCTTGTGCGTGTGCGGAGAATTTCCATGTAAATTGGAAAATAATCAGTTGTCCGATTGTTCGATTATCTTAGTTTATGTCAGATCGGAATTGTGATTAACTTTTCGAGGATTTGTGCCCAGTCTTTGGTACTTAAAGCTAGTTTCTGCCGATCAGAATTTGGTTTGTCTGGACTTAAAATGACAGATTTTGGTCGTAATGGCCAGGATTTAGTCTTGATATTAGTTAACTTTCTGAGATTTCTCCTTTAATTTTGAATGCGATAGATTGTGTTATTTTTTCTAAGTAGAAAGATGCATTTTAAGTATATTGTTTAAACTAATCGCCCAAAGGCAAAACGAGAAGTTTTATTTTATAATTTTAGTTACTGGCCGACAAAGCATTGAAGGAAGCTCAGAACGAGCTGGAAAGTTGGAGCCAAACGATTTTATTTAGTTTCTCCGATTAGATTGTTTACTTACTATCTAAGTACAATAAACTAACATTTGAATGTCAAACAATGAAACAAGTCGCTTGGCATTTTGTTAGAATGGAAGAGGAAATCAATAACAAAGGGAAGAAAATTTCTGCATCAACCTACACAAGCCATTTCTTGTCGTTTGAAGTAGTGAGCGGGCCTAAGTCTTATTCGCTTAATAACTTTTGCCCATTTCTTTGTTTAGGTTTATTGAATGAGAGATAAACTTCGATATATTCTGATACTATAACTGCTAGTATTGATCACTGAGAGCCGTTTCTTAGGGTGTCACGCGACGCACATCTTTGAAAAAAATCAACGAAAAAGCAACAACAAAAACAACACCCACATACAGACTATATCATACTTTAGTAAGTAATGAGCGAACCCCCTTCATTTTGTGATCTTTACCCCAAACTATAGCAGATCTTCGCCGGGAAAAGTGAACCATATAGATTGAACGATGTTCTTCCTTCTGAGTCAGTCTCAAAGTTTTACATTGGAACGTCAAAGTTGACGCTTCTAAGAGTCACAACAGACGCCGAGAGATGGCGGCCTTGGCGGCGGAACTTGACAAGAGATGGGTTGCGTAGGAGAGTGACGGCCAGGAACCAGCGGTTGGCAGCCTTTTGAGACATGCGCGGCTGACGGGGCTCCCGACTAAAGCCTGAAATACAAAGAGACAAAGAGATTTCAAATCTCATCATTAACTATTTCTTAGTACATCTGTCTCATGTTCAAACAAGGTCAATGTCAGTATCTAAGAAATTGCGCTCCTACCCCTCCCCTAACCCAACATTAACCCTAACTTGTTATCAGTTGACTGTTGTTGGGTTAGGGGAGGAGTAGGTGGCAATTGCTCAGATACCGATATCGATCAATCAAACAAACAAAGGGACAAACAGACGAAAATGGATTTGTTGTTTCAGGATCCATCCTGACTAGGACGACTAGCCAAGCAGTTTAAGAAAATCACAACGACAACGGGAACAACACGAAACAAAATGTTTCAACTTACGCTTATTAAACCCAATCCGATGTAATCCCAAGAGTAAGTCTAGAAGTCTATGACTAATTATTATGATAATCGATCAGATATTATCCTCTTTTTTCTCCAGTTCATTTTAAGGTGCATAAATGTTAAAATCGGAATTACACTGCCTCACCTGTTCCTGGCATTTCCATCAACAAATGAAGGATGGCTGTAGAAGATAAAATGAGCTAATAAATTGATTATTATCTCAAGAATAACATTTGAAACAATGAAAAAGTTTATTGCATCTCGAGTTAGACGAGTACTACATGCCCTTTAGCATCTACCCATGACTTTTATTACCTTCCCTAGGAAGCAGACGGAGAAATTAAAAAAAAAATGCAGCATCTCCACAATTTACCAACCAGCTGAACAAAACTTCACAAGTGGAAAACAGTTTTAAGGATACGGTAGACCTTCACGAATGTCCTTCGAAAACTTTTTTTACACGGGCTATTCGGAGTGCAACCAAACTATATAACAATGGAAAGGATGTAAAATGTGCTATTCCAAAAAAAAAATGTCTCGTTTTAGTTCGCAACAATTTGAAACGGACGATGCTTTATTAACCGAATTAATCAGGTATCAAGTCTGACCGCTCAAATAAAACATCTGCACTATTTCAATCTTAAGGGGTTGGTCTCCAGAACTTAGTGAAGATTTTTCCATATTCTTGGGTGTTACTAAACTATGGATCAGCAGAACGCGGAACCTCCACCATATATTTTTTTATAAAAGAAGAGCAATGAGATAATTATAACGTTTACTTTTGGGTACGAAGAAGAAATATTCAAAAGAGAAATTTAAGTACTGCGATATCTGAATAACGCCTCATTCGAGGCATTTAGGCTGGAATTCATTGTACATGACTGGAATGAGGAACACGAGGCGTGAGGTAACATCATCCTATCATCATTTCGGTGTGATCCATTGAACATGACTAATAAGAGGACTTTATTAAAAGCCAAAGAAATAATTTTTTAACGATGCTTAACTCAAAAAAAGCTCCATGTGGTTGTAAGGAGTTCCGTGCTGAATTTTAATACGTAAAAATAATTAATTTTAAGGGTCACACGGCAACCAGGTGGACAATCAGACATAGTTTGACGCTACTCTGGTTTGCAGATTCAATGAATGTAACCGAGGAAGTTACGATTCATTGACCCAACGTTTCGACACTCTTGTCTAGTGCCTTCATCAGGGGTGATCTAAACGCTGCAACAAGAGGTCCTTTTATATGATCACTAATTAGCGGCCTTTTTTCCGACGAGGTGAAGATATACCCCTTCACCAAACCTAAGGATCCTGTCACGAAAGAACAACGAACCGATGCCATTTATTCTATTCCTTGCAATGACTGTCACAACGAATACATCGGACAGACCAAACGTCAGTTTGGTACACGGTTAAAAGAGCACCAAAAAGCGGTTTTTCTTTGCAAAAAGGAAAATTCAGCTTTAACAGAGCATGCATGCTTAACCAACCATACAATTGGGTGGGATAATTCTAAAATTATCACCACTAATCGGCGTTACCATCAGCGCCTTTGTTTGGAGGCTTGGCATATTAACTCCGCCCACGCTCCTTTAAATCGTGACGATGGCGGTTTGCTTCTTGACGCCTATTTACACCTCGTCAGAAAAAAGGCCGCTAATTAGTGATCATATAAAAGGATCTCTTGTTGCAGCGTTTAGATCACCACTGATGAAGGCACTAGACAGGAGTGTCGAAACGTTGGGTCTATGAATCGTAACTTCTTCGGTTACATTCATTAAATCTGCAAACCAGAGTAGCGTCAAACTATGTCTAATTTTAAGGGTTTTTTAAATTGTTTTTTCTGTGAGTGCACGTCACTTTAACCCCTTAGCTTATTTAGAAAATCAGTTATCCAAATTCATGAATACTAATTTTGTTTTACTTTGTGACGAGAAAGGAAAAAGTACACCAATTCAACCATTTTTCCAAATCCCGGATCGAATGTTAAACTTGCATCTGTCTAACCTAATGCCATTTTAAGCGGACCCTAATGATTAAGTTCGATCTCTTGTCTATGCACGTCGATCGTTCAGCAGCTATCTAAAGGGGAGACGTTTTTCCCTTTTTACATCTTGTCATGTTGGCATAAAACGAGAGCAACTAAGCTATTGTGTTCCTGTTATCCCAAATATGGCTACCAAAGCTGTTGTGCAGACAACCATGACGCAAACAACATGACCACAGCATGAATGTCTCGCCTGTGCTTTTTGATCTTTAATTGCTTTGTACTATATGGAATCTAAAAGGCTTCAGGAACCCAAATTGTAAGAGATCCTTTTCTGATTATGAACTAAGAGTTCAATGCGGGCATCTTTAGAATCTGGTTTGTTTTGTTTGAATCAACAGCACCAAATAACCGCCAACTGACATTTTTTTTTCGGTTTTGTTTGGCCACATTACACAGGACGTTCAAAAATAGATATAAATGTTTCGTAAAAGGAAAGTCAAGATATAATTAGATGGTTACTAAACTAGCGCACAACTTTTAAAAAAACGTTTTGCTCTCTTCGTCGGATTCAGTTTTACTCATCACACGCAATTTGATAGCTGCCGCACAACAACCAGGAACAACTAGCGTCGTACTTAGCACACAACACGTCAATATAAAAAATTTTGCCGGATTCAGTTCCTTTCATCACCCAATTCATCATGGCCAAGATATGCAAAGGTTGCTGTTAAAAGGTATCGTTACACTAATATTTGA